ACATGGAGATGGGTAGAGACCTGTTCTCCCCTGCAGAGGAAGGCAGGACACGCTCCAACGGAGCAAAGCTCAGGGAGCCAAGGTTCCATTTGGATGCCAGGAAGCACTTCCTGACAGTCAGGACCCCGAGGGTGTGGAATGGGCTTCCACGAGAGGTCTTTGAGGCCCCATCGGTGCTGGTGTTCAAGGATAGGCTGGACGTCCATATGGTGGGCATGTCGTGAGTGGAGCCGGCTGGTGCCGGAGGTTAGACTAGATGGCCCGGGAGGCCCTTTCTGACTCGCTCTGTTTCTATGTAACATTCCTCCAGGCCTTCCTGTTTTCCACCATTCCCCGGAGTCCACTCAAGCTCACACCAATGGCTTCAGTGACTCCATCTAACCACCTCATTCTCTGCCGTCCCCTTCTTCTTTTGCCATCTATTGTTTGCATCATTAGACTCTTCTCCAGGGAGTCCTTCCTTCTCATTAGGTGGCCAGAGTATTTGAATTTCATCTTCAGGATCTGGCCTTCTAAAGAGCAGTCAGGGTTGATCACCTCTAAGACTGACTGGTTTGATCGCTTTGCTGTCCAAGGGACTCACAGGAGTCTCCTCCAGCACCACAATTCAAAGGCCTCAATTCTTCGGCGCTCAGCCTTCCTTATAGTCCAACTTTCACAGCCATACATTACAACTGGGAAAACCATAGCCTTGACTATTCACACTTTTGTTGGCAGGATGATGTCTCTGCTTTTTAGTATGCTATCTAGATTTGCCATAGTTTTCCTTCCCAGGAGCAAGCGTCTTTTAATTTCTTGGCTGCAGTCCCCATCTGTGGTGATGGAGCCCAGGAAAATAAAATCTGTCACTACCTCCATTTCTTCCCCATCTATTTGCCAGGAAGTGAGAGGACCGGATGCCATGATCTTAGTTTTCTTAATGTTAAGTCTTTATGTTGACAAGTCCCTGCCATTTTGGTCCTGTATCATGCCCATCTTTGCATGAAACATTCCCTTCATATCTCCAATTTTCTTGAAGAGATCTCTGGTCCTCCCTATTCTATTGTTTTCTTCTATTTCTTTGTACTGTTCATTTAAGAAAGCATTCTTATTTCTTCTAGCTATTCTCTGGAATTCTGCATTCAGTTGGGTGTATCTTTCCCTTTCTCCCTTGCTTTTCGCTTCCCTTCTTTCCTCAGCTATTTGTAAAGCTTCCTCGGACAGCCAATTTGCTTTCTTGCATTTAATTAATACTATAACAGACTAGATTAAGAAATAGTCTGGGAAAAAGGAGTTAGGACATCAAAGAATGGGTACCTGAGGTACCATATTGCTCCCCCAAACCCTATCATGGTTAAGGGAAAGAAATACCCCCACAACCAAGCCACAGAACTTGTGGCACAAAGTTGGTTCTGATTCTGTTTTGCCTCTACGTTTAATTGATTCTATAATTTTGTTCCCTTGATGCATGCTTTAATATTAGGTGCCCAATAATGGATGCCATGGTCATCCCTTGTATGCTTGGCTTAAGGTTTATGCAATGACAGAAGCAACATGTGGGAGGGTCATAGACATAGTCCAGATGTGGCATTCTTCCAAGAGATGTGGCAAAAATCAGTCGATCACAATGTGTAATCAAACAAAGAATGGATGGACAACAGGTCAAGGTCTGTGGCCCCTGGCATCTCTAAGGTACTTGAGTGGTAGGAGATATAGAAGCCAAATCAATAATGTTAGCATCTATTTATAGCTTTAACAAGAGGCAGCTCATGTTCTTGAGTGACACCCTTATGGAATTCCTGAAATTAAAGAGGGGAAATCATTATTAGAGGAGATCTGAATATGGTTGTAGATGACAAGTACCTGAAAGGCTGTCACAAAGAGGACGGTTAAGATCACTCCTTGCTGATACCAGAGTGTAGCGCACAGAATCGGCTCAAGGTGCGACAAGCCAGATTCAGGCTGGACATCCAGAAAAGTTACCTTTGCTATCTGTAATGTAGAATTTTAGGGGTAATTTGCTGCCCTGTGAGGTAGAAGTGTTTTTGCAGTCAACAGCAAGCCTTGAAATAGTGCGACATCAGAAAGGAGGTTCCACCTGCACCGTGCAGGGCTGACTCAGTAGTATCTGGAAAATTACTTTCCGAGAGACTAATCCAACATGGCAGAGCGTTGAGAGCAGCGGCCAGATAGAACTTGTTGCAGAAATCTGGTTTCCCTTCATCGCATTTATCAACAGAGTGCTGATCTGTTGTTATGTGCCCTCAAGAGATCTCTGAATTATGGCAACCCTATGACTTGTCAGTTGAATGCTGCCCAAAGTCTTCTCCATGACAGCTCCACTCAGCTCTTGTAAATTCCAGACTGTGGCTTCCTTTATGGGCTCCATCATCTCTTCTTTGGCCTTCCTTTTCTTCTGCCTTCAGCCTTCCCTAGCATGATTGTCCTCTCCAGTGGATGATGACCTAGAAGCTCTCCATACTCCAACATCATTGTGGAAGGGTGCTTTAAGAATATTCTGCAGTTAATGTAACTCAGATTCTTTTTATTTTTATTTCAATAGTTTATTGAATTGTAGTTGTATTTATGTAGGTATCTATTCACTGTTTTTGTAGAGTATAAGCTTTATTGTACCATTCACAAATTAAATACAACCAAGTTAACAAAAGAATAAACAATGTTGTACAACACATTCATTAATACAGAACTTATCTGTTTATCTAATTGCTGTACCACGTGCGACTAGATGTTGCAATCCCACAGCACAGTGTTTCCTCTGATGAGGCAAATCTCCTCCGAGGAAACATTCTAAGCAAGCAGATGCTGGAAACTACAGCCCAAGGAAGATGGCGACAACGAGTTTCATACTTCACAGTGTCCTGGTGACAGGATCCAGTTCAGGAATTGGCTTAGGTCTGGTGAAGCAGTTCCTGACACTGCCAATTCCGCCTAGGTGGGTCTTTGCTACAAGCCGTGAGATGGATGGACCAAAATGCAAGGTGAGAATGAGTAACTTAACGTGAAAGAGGCACGACGTCTGTTGCAACAGCACCCCCTGAATCAGCATCTCTACCAGAGAAGGTTTTTGCCGGTCAAGGAAGCAGCTGCAGAAAGGCTTGTCTTCGGCTCCTTCAGTTAAAAGGATATGAAAGGATGTGATTCTTGCTGGAATCTGTAGGACCTTCCTCTGTCTAACCATACAGAGGATTGCCCTTCAATAGAAAAATGGATATGATATGTTCTTAGTAGCAAATTTGCCTATTTTAGTGTTCAACATGCAATTGAATGAGTTGCAGATTTTTCTAAAATGCATTATATTTTATACGTATTTTACCCCATTCCTTTCCTCTGACAGCTGGTGATTTGCTAGCATTCTCAGGAGATTTTTCGATGCCAGGAAGTACTTTCTGACAGTTAAGACCCCAAGGAATGGGCTTCCACAGGAGGTGATTGAGGCCCCATCAGTGAGGTGAGGGTGTTCAGGAATAGGCTAGACAAGCCCATGGTGGGCATGTCATGAGCGGAACTGGCTGGAGCCGGGGGTCAGACTAGATGGCCCAGGAGACCCCCTTCTGACTCTCTCTGTTTCTATCTTTCACATTTTAAAAGGCTGAAAGCATCTCCTAAGGCTTAGTTACTGACAATAAGACTTTAAGCTAAAAATTGCTCCTGGTGTTAGTATTTCAGCCCTGTCCCCTTTACTGATGGTTTTGTCCTGTTTTGCCTTCAGAGCATCTCAGGAACTAATTCCTGCCCTCAGGCTTGAAAGAGGGTCTGCATGAGAAAAGGAGTGGTCTGATTCAGTACCACATGCACCTTCAAAAATAGAGCTCAGGCAAAAGGGCTCTTTGTGATGTGATGTAATCCTGAACTTCAGAATGCTGGTTCAATGTGGATGTGGAGAAATTTTGCTTGGCTGGAGGGAACTGCTAATGCTCAGGGCATTTAAAACTGTTAAGAGCATTTGTATTTAGGTTGTTGAAGTTTTGCTCTGAGTGGCTTGCAGCAGTGTATAATATTTTCTTAGGTCTTGCACAACCATACATAGCCTGGATAAAGGGCTGTTAGTCACAGATAAATGATGCAATTAATATTCATGCAACTTCCTCTACACTGTACCAGCTGTATAAAACAATTAGATTATCAGGGTTTATAATGTTTTGACCTGCAGAGCAAACAGCATAAAGCACTTGTGGTTGGTGCCAAGAAGGGAAGTTGAAAGTTTCTTCCTTGTGATCAAAAGAAAGGGATATGGTAGGAGACTAAATGCCCTAGCTGAGCAGAGAAAAAAGGAAGCGTTTTCAAAATCCTTATCTACTTTCCTTTGCACAAAGCTGTCTGTTAATCTTTGAGCTTGCAATCGCTCCCGTAGTGCTGTAGCGGAGGGAGTTACATGGTGGAGTCGCCAAGCTAGAAGACACGGGGACCTCTTTGTTCTGCCCCACCCATCTTGCCAAGCAACAGGCCTTTTTAAGACTACACCTTCACACACACACACACACACACACACACACACACACACACACCCCTTCCACAGTCAGGCAAATTCCAATGGGCTCACTTGGACCTGGAATTAGATCGGCCATTTTCTGATCACGGAAAGGGGTGGTTGGTGGCGAGAACGCAGTCGCTACGTGTGGCAGGATAAGGCGTGCACCTGGTGTGTGTACGTGGCTGGGGAGAACTCTCTTAAGGGCACCATATTCCTCACAGCTGATGAGCAGCAGATCTCCTGAGCCCCGAAGCCCCTCCTGAGGGCCTGGATCTCAGCGGCAGGGCCCCGCCTGAAGCACATGGCAAGGCAGTTTGAGGGTCTCGGCTCAGCATGAGCAACTATCACAAAATAAGAGAGAGAGAAGTTATGACAACATGTTTCTCATTCATAGGAGATAAAAGTGCTGCTATCCCAGTACCAAAATTTGGTGTTGCTGCAGTTGGGTGAGTATCGAATTCCTTTGGTCTTCAGCTTTCTTCCTACAATCATCAGCAGTGCATGCAAGTCATGTAGAAATGTCTCTGTTTTGACTCGAAGGGCCCGGCCCTGCCAAAGCAACTCACTTTAGATTACTTTAGGATTGTTCAGAAGAAACAGAACGTTGTGTAAAGACAACAACCAGTTTATTCAGTACAATTCTGAAATATCAATGCAGAATATAAAGAAGGCTTTATATTATGAAGTTTACTTTCCTCTTTGTGGCCTGTTGGTTCTCTGAATTGGCCGGAGGATGCTCCGTGGGCTCCACAGGTGCCTGGGTGAACTACAGGTCAATTCCTCCTCCTAGGCCCAGAGAGTATAAGATATGACCCATGGATGCGATAAAGTTCCTTTCTCCTGCTATTGCAGAATCTGCCAATAAGCACACGGGTGCCCCCCACCCCACCCAGGCGCTTCCTGGGAACAAAAGCATGCAGCTGCAGAGTCTCATTGTGCCTATCCACAGACGCACTGGGGCAGCCGCTTCAGTGCAGTCGTCTCTGTCGCTCTTCTTAACCAGCTGGATGCTATCAGGCCTTTGCATTCCTTCCGTGACACTCGCAGGGGGAGCTATAAAGTCAGAACTTGCACCAGACAGCAGGGAAAGGAAGGAAGTGAAGGACAGGAGGAGGGAGAAAGGGCAGCAGGGACCTGCAGAGTCAGAACTAGAAAGTGACTCCCGTGGTAACTCCCTGCCACGCTCTGGCAGCACAATCAAACCCTGACTCTCTAGCACCAGTCCCATCTCCATCATCACCCAGGTAATGTTAGGCTTAATGTTAGCTCAAGAAATGTTAACTTTTAATAATCTTTTTACTGTTTTTCTATCTTATCTATCTATCCTGTTTTAAGAACTGTATACCTACACACATACACACAGATTTTCTCTCTCTTTCATTCTCTCTCTCTCCAGTACCTGTAGTTACTTTATTATTACTCTATTATCATCATTATCACAATGCTGTGTTGTGTTTAAGATGTTTTATTGAATATGGAAGTGCTTCTTAAGTGTCTTATATGCTTTTATGTGCATGATCAGACTTACATACAAATCGACTGAAGGAAGTTCTCAGGAATGGAACTTGTCCATAACCTGGGAACTGTGTAAGAACAATGCAGATAAAGATACAGCCAAAAAACAAAACAAAACCAGCCACAATGCTGGAAATGCTGCAAGCATCTAAAGTTCATTCAACTACTAGAGAAATACATTTTGTATCAGGAGAAAAGGCAGGGAAATCAGCAGCACATACATTAGAACAACAAGGCATTAACTTGTTATTAGAAAGCAATTGGATGATTGCTTGAATAGTGATGCCAATAAAATAAACCACAACATTCATAATGAGTATGAACTATTTTTACAAATCCCTGTACAGAGGAACTTTCCAAGAGAGGCCTGGAGCGCCTGTGGTTTTCTGGCATGGGATTCTGTGTGGCCTCAAAGCCCACGAAGAGCAAGATCCCTTGGACTTTCCATGGGCTCCTTTTGACCCAGTCTTTGGCAAAGTGACTGTGTCATTTTTTTGCCAGCTGAGCAGACAAGCAGGTTCATGACCAGAAACCACAGCCCTGCTCTGCTTTAAATGTTTCTGAACAATCAGATAACAATAAAAATATGTTGTACCATTTTACAGTTGCTTTTGTTTTGATTGAATTCATTTGTATTGGTTTTGATAATACCATTGTATTGTTTTATTGATTGTTCTTAAGTTCTTTGCTTTTAATCTTGTAAGCCATCCTGAGACGCGATAGTGAAGGACGGCATACAAATGTTTTAAATAAATAAATAAAAATAAAAAGGCGTCCCACTGAATATTTAAGTCCGTATGCTGTCCTGCAGATGTCACTGATCTCAAGAGCATCAGAGCTGCTGTGGAAGAAGTGCGGAAACACGTTGGAGAACGTGGGCTGACCCTGCTGGTGAATGGGGCTGGCATCATGTTTTTCAGCTCCCTGCAGACAGAAAATGCAAAGGACATGGTGGCTGAATACACTGTCAATACTGTTGGGCCACTGCAGGTGAGCCAGGTGAGCGCAGTTTTATTTTTTTCACGTGGCTGGGGAGGCTCTCAGCAAACCTGCCAGCATTTGCAAGCACACGTTGTGATGGCCTGGCCTTTGGATCACATAAGCACCTGGGGCTGCCCAGGAAACGTCTCATGACGGGGCTCTGCTCTGCTCCAGGTACATGGTTGCCGGATAAAATGGGCAGGCGTACAGGCATTACAGGAGGGTGCATAAGGTGTGCATCGGCTCTGATGATGTCTGACCTTGAGGGGGAAGGGATCAAGGCAACGTTTTGCGCCCCGAGGCCTTACACAGAATGAGTTCAGTGCTGAAGCCTTTGCCTTGCTATAAAGCACAGCTCTTTTCAAGGAAATCCTTGAAGTTCACCGTGCTGCAAAGCATTCATTGTTAGAACACAGGTGTGGGTTCTCCTTGCATGTGCATGCATAAGGTTTGAGTTACACGCTATCCCACTGTAAGCCTACCCAGAGTGGTCGCATGGGGCTCAATTCCTGGCAAGTCCGCCTCAAACATTGGGCATGCTCTCCAGGAACTTGGACTCTGGACTGCAACAACGTGGACTTGAGTTCGGGAAGCCTCACGCATCCCTAGTCAGTGGGCTGTGACATCTGTATCCCGGGAAGGTTATGTGGGAACTTACAAAGGTCTGCAGTGACGAATTAAGTAGGCGCTTTGAGGACGAAGTGACTTGCTTTGTTCTGACCAAAATGCCATTATTGACACATTTCCCATGCAGGTGTCTAGAGCACCATCTGATCAACTTTTATTGGGAATTTCAGTGGATGCAACTTGAGGATGTCTGCTAGCTGCTTGAAGCAATTCATCCAAATGTACTTTTGATGCGTCTATTTTGGCTAGTTAAATCAAGTCAAGGGGGACTGACAAAGTCGGCTCAGGAAATTTCCAGGACCTCACCGAAGGAGGAAGTGGTTCTGGTAGTTGTAAGGCACTTCTTAAGAAATCCTCAGTGGACTCAGAGGAATGAGATCACCATCACCCAGTCGCAAATGCCCCCTTCTGGAGCAAAGTGATCAAGAGGGTGGTGATGATCCAACATCAAGCACAATTTGATGGAACAGATTGTGTGCACCTGTTTCAATCTGAGCTGAGGTCATGATCTGAGACCAGGATGGTCATCCTGATGGATGCCTTCTGTCAGGAGAGAGACAGGGAAAATGGAATCCTGTGGATCTTATTATTCCTAACATCTTACTGGACCAACAGTGCTACAGCAGTTCCACTTGTCGTGATGGGCCAGTTAAAGAAAGTCTTGGGGGATTATTGCTCAGCTCCATGGCATTTGGGCTGTGGAATTTTGTAAGGTTCAGTTGTACCCTTAAAGATCTACCTTAAGCCACACTAAGCTCTTCCAGAGATTTGGAAGAGTCATCAAGTTCAGGTGAGGCTATGGAGGTGAAGGCCTGTTGTCCAGACTCAGCAATGAAACGGACAAGGGCCGATAAGTGGAAGCGGAATCCTGACGAGTAGGTGCCAAATAGGGTGCAGGGGGGAGAGCTTGCTACTCGGTGGCCTCTCCTGACTCTTACCAGGTCAAGAACTTGACACACAACCTGCTCTTTATGTGTTTGTGATCTCCTTGGAGGAGTAGGTGTACAGCCTGGGAGTGCTTTTTTAATATCACAGCATAATTCATTTTAATAGCTAGCTTGGTAGATTTTTGTTTGTTTCAAGCACATATTTTATTTAAGAAATGCATAGTAACAATGATGTAACAACAAAAACATTAACAAATGCAACTTGTTTTACATATTAATCACAGGCCTGTACATAACTTAGGATTGCTGTCCCTGAACATACCTTTGTGGTACACATTTAAGCTCTGTTAAGAACAACACAATTATCTGTTTTCAGTGATTCACCTTACTAGTTATTACACTTCCAAATGTAGGAGTGTGCACTTGGTGGATCCTGCTTGGGAAATTCCACATGGATGTATTTAATGAAGGGGATCTGAGTCTAAGATCCAGTCCTGCATGATCGCTTAGTCATGGTGTGTTAGCTTTTCACCAAGAGCACCTCCCAGATTTTCTGGAGCCATCCATTCACAGTGGATCCTATGTTCATTTCCCAACTATAACTATTCTTTCCAGCTAAAAAGGACAAAGCTAGACTTCTATGTGACAGCTGCTTTTGCGTGTCATTACAAATAGAGAGAAAAACTAATAGCTTGGGAGTGCTTTTGAATCCAGTATTGCCACTTGTGGCTTGAGTGGCCCCTTTTACCCCCTTTGTCTCATTCATCATCTGCATCTTCTCCTGTGCAGGAACAGTCTGACTACAGGGATCCAGGCTGGATTTCTGGCATGTATTTTATGTGAGGCTGCACTGGAAAATGGTCTGGAGGCTTCAGCTGGTACAGAATCCAGCTGTTAAGATTCTGGCTGGTTTGCTAAGTGGAGCCCTATCACTTCAGTCCTGAAGGCACCACATTGCCTGCAACTCACTGCTGAGCCAGTTCAAGGCGCTGCTGCTTCCTGTGACTGCCCTGAAGGGCTTGAGGTCACAGCCTCTTCTCTCCTGTCAAGCTGCCTATGAGGCCCTTCCTGATATTTCTTCAGTAAGAGTGGCATATGTAGCAACTTCAAATGAGCTGAAGAGCTCATACGAATGTCCCCTTCTGTTCTATGCTTTAAAATGGCATTTATTGAGACAGTGGGAGCAGATGGCATCCAACACAAGCCACTTGCAGAAATCTTGGAGTTCTTTCTTCCAGGGCCTTGACTATGGCATCCCTCTGAGCTGTGACTTCAGAGTGGAACTTGAGGACACTCTTCTCCCATGCCTTTGGTCCTCCACATTTTCAGAAGGTGGCGTTGCAGCATTCAGGATGCTGTGCTGCTCCTCAGGGTTCCATGTTTGTCTCCATCCTAGGCAGCATGTGCTTGAAACCACTGGGAAGTTGTTCTGGGAGTTTGGCGCCACCAACGTTATGCCTTTTCCCCAAGGTCCAAGGAAACTGCTCTGGTTCTAAATCAGTGTCTGCTGTTGCTAATGGGCTGGAAAAGAGCAGAAAAAATGAAACTGAATCTAGAGAACACCCGGGTTCTCTGTAAATTTATCATTTGGATGTTGAATCCTTCGATGCTGCCATAATGGAAATAGAGTAATTCATGTCCTTGGAGCAAACATGCTACTGGAGGTCAGATATGGTGAACATATTGGCATCCACATGAAATTGGACTGCAAATCGAACACTCTCGTTGGCTCTGCTGGCTAGCACTGATGGGAGGCCCACATGTTCCTCACCCCTGTTGAAGGTCCTACATGGAACTTCTGTATAGAAGAAACCTGTAGAAAGCCTTTTGTGGAAGAAAAAGCTGTGGCAAAGCAGGCATTTTTTTCTCAAAAGACCTGAAATCTCAAGCATTGCTGTCTTTTAATCTTCATGTAACCAGCCCTGAGTCCTTCCTCTTCCACATCATTGTCTTTGCAAAGGGACACTTCATCAGTTTAATGGCCACTGTCTGTATCTCTCTAGGAGTTTCTGCCCCTGCTGAAGATGGCAGCTAAGAGAAGTCTCCAGGAGGGGCTGAGCTGCAGCAAGGCAGCCATTGTCAATCTATCCAGCAATGGTGGCTCCATCGAACTCATGCCCAAGTGGGACAAGACGCAGAATGTTGGCTACCGCTGCAGTAAGGTACTGCACGTGCAATTCACCTTGGACTCTCTGAAACAGGGGGGCCTGCCCTGCCCAGGGTTGTGTTCCTATGGCCTTTCCCCATAACTGCAGCAAAGATCCCTTTGTGGGTCAAGTATGCCTCCGAAGATGGGCCATGCAGGGAATACTAATTACTGTTGATGTTTGGTGTAAATAAGCTCTGAGAGGTGTCCATAACCATCAGGCATAAACAACAGTTCTCACAACAGCAATAGGGGAATAATCTTATTTCTTGCATACAAAGCATTTCCTAGTTTCTGCTCTGGCTTGAGACCTCATCCTCAAGGAGAGACAGGCACAAATTTCTTCTGGGACACTTGGCTGAACTATGAAGGTAAACTGCAAAGAATGCTATGATTCCAGATGTAGTTGCTAATATCCATTGAATTCCCCCTTCAGGAAAGGTAACCTAGTCCTGTTGGGAAGTCCTAATCTTGCAGAACATGCAAACAGACCTCAAGAGAAAATAAAACACTAGAACAGATTGATGTTGGGACCATTAGCTCCCATACATCATATTAATCCTACCATTTCCAGTTCCTGCTAGCAGTGTCGGAAGTCAATCCTGAGTATCCTGCATGAACCTGAATGTGCTGAGACAATGTTTCTGGTTCAGAGTTCGCACCTGTGTGGAAGACGTGCCCCAAGTCAAGTGCAATAGGGTCTAATATATCTGACTCGGGACATGCTTTCTGTACCACTCCAACCCTGAGGACCAGAGCTGTGGGTTCCACATTTTCAGTCCCTGCTGGATTTTTCAGCCTGCCACAACCCTCATGTCCTAGGACATGGCAGCAAAGGTTCAACTAGCTCCGGACCTCAGGGCCCCACAGGCCACCCAGAGCGTGGCAGATGTGAATGGAGCACCAGCGAACATTTGCACTCCCACCTCACTCAGTGCCCTCCAGGTTTTTTTTTTTTTCTAGGCAGACAGTTCTGCACTTCCTTGACATTCCAGTCACCTCTCTTAAGAGGTCAGCAAGAGTTGGTGTGAGGATGTGCATTCCTCAGTTTCATTTCCCGGTTCCTGCATTTCCCTTCTTTCTGTGGCTTGTTAGCTCTTGTGTCAGGAGCTGTGTTGTGATGTTCCCCACCTCTTACAAATCTCTGTGCCCCACTTCCTTTCTTAGCCCAGTCATGCAACAGAATCCAGTCGTTTCCTTGGGTTGATGTATCTGAGTTCCCAAATAAACCCATTTATGTTTTTTCCCTTGTAGGCTGCTTTAAACATGCTTACCAAGTGCCAGTCAATGGAATACCCAAACTATGGGATCCTCTGTGTTTCTGTCTATCCTGGCTTTGTGAGGACTAAACTAACTATGGTAACTACTATAACCTTTAAGCCAGGGTGGGCAACCTCTAGGCTTCTCCCTCAACTTTCAGCAGGGTCAATAGGAGTGGGGCATAGTATTGCAAACAAGAGTGCGAGCATATACCACCCATGGGCCTCATGTTTGCCCTCCCTCATTTGACCAGCTGGGTGCAGTTCCAAGGGGAACTAATCATGGGCCTGGAAATTGCATGTTCTGACAATTTATGAATCTGTGCATGGAGCCGTGATGTTCACCTTGCTTATAGAAGATTAAGTTCAGTGCAAAGCTAGCCTTCCGTGTCCTCTCTAAAGGGAAAGTGGTTTCCCGAGAACCTGAATGGCAGAAAGGTGTCTAGTATAAATGTAGAATTTGCCCAGGGATAAGACTTCCAAAGTGGCGCTTGGAGGTTCGGGATGCTCCAACAAGAAGTGCAAGACAGTCAGGCCCCTGCATGTTGGACTTGCAAATTCTTTCCCGGATTTCTCTATGCGCTGGGCCCATGGCCAGCCTGAGATACTTTGCTGCTGGAAAAAATGGGCAAGGCGGTGCCCACTCTGCCTTCCACATACAGAAGCTTCCCAGAATGGCATTCTCCACCACACCTGAGGCAGCAGGCTTGTTGGGGGGTTTGGAATGGGCCTTGGGGTTTCCAACAGACGGAAACACCCGAGGATCTTGGGTGGAACAGTTCAGGGACGGCTGCCATTGCTGTCTAGCACCCTTTGCCTGAGACAATTGCCTCGCTTTGCCTAGCAGTTGTGCCAGTCCTGCTTGAGGCCATGGAGATGGTTGTTGTCCTTAGGTATGGCCATGTGCCTGACAGCTGCCTTGAATATGGGGACTCACATGTGACCCAGGCACCCAATGGCACAGAGGCCTTGTCCTGCTCTTCATGCATCTTTGACATGGCAGTAGGCTTTCTTTCCTGGCTGACATGGTTCTTTTTTAGTGGCAGGGGGACCTCAGCGTGGAGGAGAGTGTCCAAGAAATCATTAATGTGCTCTCCACACTTTCTGAAGTGGATAATGGTACCTTTATAGACTGGGAAGGACGCAGGCTGCCTTGGTGAGAGGTTTGTCTACTGATGGCACAGAGACTACTGCACTGACTCCAGAACCTCTAATAAAGTAATAAAGTACCTGAGTTACAAGAAAAGTGTACCTGGTTTCATTTTTTTTCCTTTACAAGGGTCCACAGAATCTGCCTAATGCTATCTTTATGTGTGCGGAAGGGGAGACAAATAAATAAAGCCTTTTATAGAAGTACTAGCCTAGTCCCTGGAGGCAACATGGCCTTGCTCCAGGCACATATGTCTGGACTGGAAACTAAGAGGGCTGCCAGGTGGGGGATGCCCTTTCCTCCTCGCCCACTGGAGGCAGAAACGGAGCAGGCTGCATCACACAGCGTATCCACTACGGCTGTGGTCCCCGGCCTTTTTGGCACCAGGGACCAGTTTTGTGGAAGATGATTTTTTCCACAGACCGGGGGTGGAGATGGTTTTGGGATGATTCAAGCGCATTACACTGGTGCCCCACATTTTGAACTTAATTCATTTAAGGAGGCCATTTGAAGTCCAAAGCAATGTTCCCCGTTATAAATAATGGAAATTAATCCATTCCCAGACCTTAAACAATACCCATCTCAATAAACAGTAAATACCCATAATTTAAGGTAAAAATAATACAATTAAATGCAAAATTTTATTAATTTTTTCAAGTTTTAATTAATAAATATGTACAGTGCTGTATGGTAAAATGAAAATTGCATTTGCTGTCTAAATTTTTTAGTGAGGAGTGCTGAAGCAGAAAAGGATTGAGAAGGGTTGAGAAGGCAGGCGGTTGAATGGCACTTAGAATGACCAGGAAGAGCAGTCGCCTAAAAGGCACTGAGAACAACTGAAAAGGTACGCAGTGGAAAGGCACAGATGCAGCGAGACGAGAGACAACTTGGAAGCAAAACTGACGACGTTTATGCAGCAACCACATTTTTTCCACTGTGCCAGTGGTTCAAATTTAGAAGCGTAGTTTGAACTGTGAAGAGATTTTATCTGGACTCCGCTGTTCGAAATCTGGATCTCGGCCACCGCTCACCTGCTGGTTCCTAAGAGGCCATGAACCAGCACCGGTCCGCAGCCTGGGGGCTGGGGACCCCTGATCTATGGAATTCACTGCCAGGGAAAGTGGTGATGACTGCCAGACTGGATGTCTTTAAAAAGGGGTTGGACAGATTCAAGAGAGGGGAGGCTATCGGGCTGCTAGACTTGTGGCGTATGTCCTCCTTTCTTTACCAGAGGTGGCGTGGTTGCATACACCAGTTGCTGAGCCGCTCGGGCACCCAGAGGACTTGCATCCATTCTGCTTGAGGGATCCTGTGGGCAGCTGGCTTGGCACTATGTGTAGATGGACCTTTGCTCCGATCCACCATGACCTTTCTTATGCTGTAGGTGGGACAAACTCATAATCTCTTCCGCCTCTGTCTGTCTACATAATTGTGTTTGCAGCTTAGTAATTCTTTTGACTTTATTTAAAAGGCTGCAATAACTCATCCCCTAATGGCATTTTCATCACACCCTTTTTGAATTAAGGCAATGTACATGGTTCTGTTCTGCCCCATTTTAATATTCTCACAAGATCCCTGTAAAGTAGATTAACCTTAGAATGGCTTAAGATGCCACTGTAAAGATTTGGATGTCATTCTGTAATTGCTTCAGAGCCACTCATCAAAAGAATGTGAAAATCTCCATTTGTGGGCCACAATACCACATTGCCATCTCAGAAGTTTCCTTGTTTTTCCACGGGCCTAGAGAGTTGGTTAGTTAAAAGCTCAGGTTCCCCAGAATCAATTTGGGAAGCATACCTGTAGGTCGAGTGCCTGGTGTGTCATCCTTATAATAGCATCTTACATGATGTGGAGATGCCTTTTGAAGCCATCACCAAAGTGAGCTGGAGGCAAGAGCAGGAAGTGCAGTCCCAAGAGAATGGCAATAATGGATTTCATAATTCACAGTGTCCGGGATCCAATCTGGGAATTGGTCTAGGTTTCTGATGCTGCCAACTGCACCACAGTGGGTCTTTGCTCCATGCCTTGAGATGGATGAACCAAAAACCAAGCTGGGTAGCAGTAATTTATCATGGAACAATCCCATCTGCTCTTCTATACCTCTGACTGAGCAGGTTCTTGCTTGGGAAATCCATGCAGAACAGTGTCTGCTAAAGTCCCAGGTCTAATTGTTATTATCTCCGGTGAAAAAGTTCGTAGGTAACTGGAATGGGACACCTGTCTGAGGTGAGCCACTGCTTGTTGGAACAGATAAAATACTGTGTGAGAGAGATCAACAGTTTGTGTCAGTACCTAGTAAAAATGCATACAATTTATGAGCCTTTAAATTACCATCAGTCTTTTTGTAATGTAATACTGAATTTCCAAAAGCTACCGCCATGTGGGCTTTGTGATGTTTTGGTTGGGGTGGTAATGAATTGTTTGAGTGTGTTCCTTAAAATGTTAATAAGTTTTAGAAAAGCGAGAGAGGGGTAAAGGGGGGGGGTGAGTGTGTGAGTGAGTGAGAGTATGTGGACCAAGCTTGGAAGTGTGCAAGGAGAGAGAAATCCAAACTTTTCAGTCTGTCAGGAGTTACAGTCAAGTGTGATTTGTCAGAAGTTAACAGAGTTGTGGTCTGTCAGAAGTCTAGTCTAAAGAGGCAGCCTTCGCATGAGAATCCTACATAGTGCTGTGAAAAGCTTTTAAGAGTCTGAAGAAGGAAGCCGAGTACCTGGAGGGCACCCTCGTGACTAGGCAGAGTCGGAACCTAAGATTGTCAAGTATTCTAAGGGTGCGTGTGAGAGAGAAGCTGACAGAAACCTGAATGCAGGAGAGAAATGGGGACCTATGTGTGAGGATTGTGAAGGGAAAGAGTGAGAAACCTCAGGTAGAAGTTATTACACGTTGTTTTATTTACCAAGGAAATATGTTACAGAATATCTTGAAACCAATACTCTTCCTGTACAAATGAAGCTTTATTTTGTTTATTGTGAACACAGAGTCATAGGCTGTTTGATGGGCGCTGGACTGTGGGAGAGGTTAATGCATAAAATTAAATTCCTGGTGGCAGCGTTACCTACTAAGAGAAAGAGAGGGAGATTTAAGAAAGTTAAAGACACTCCATATCCCAACAAGTTATAGGACTGTATTCGTGACAGGGGGTATGAAAGCAGGGCCCAAAAGACGCATTCCTTTGGTGCTCAACTTTCCCCCTATAAAGAAACAAAGGTATTCACAGAGGTAAGGAACCATTTAGCGTTTTGAGCTTAAATCTAAGCTATCCAACTATCTGCATTTACTTTGTATTTTTTCCATTGACAGTAAAGTGAGGTCCTCCAACATCACATGCAACTGCTGGCTGGACGACCAGTACAGAATTTGCGGAAGCACCATCCCTGCTTGTTCCTCCTTTACGTTGCATGTGGTGAGCGTGAAACACAGTGACCTTGTCAGGGCTTTCACTGTGCCCTGGAGAGCAAATGAGCCACCGCAGTTGTAAGACCCCCTTGCACAGGAGATGGCAGGGAAGAGTGAGCAAGGCAAAGGCGCAGGTGGGACGGAGTGACACAGGGACGGGTGCCTGCATGCTCTCCGGCCGTTCAAGGATATGGTAGAAGAGGGGGCCTTCTCACAGTTAGATCCTTCGCCCTGTGGAAATCAACCCTTCTCTGTGCATCTCAGGCTACGGCTTGATTCTCTTATCCTCTCCTGGTGTGTAATTTCAGTTTTTTATTTCTTATAGGAGGTATTGGAGTTGGCATCCTGACACCAGAATCTGGTGGTATTGCAGGTAGGTAAGTATTTGATTTCCCTGTGCTATTGTCTGCTTTCCTCTTTGTGTGGTAGTCAATTGGCTCAAGGGCCATACTGTAGAAATAGCCTCAAGTGCCTGGCTGGATGCCATTCACAGAATTAGTGCAACACAGTCTATAAAGTGCTTGCACAGAGGAACTTGATAAAGAGCTTGCATAAGACATGGGCTCTGAGGGAATCTGCTATGGAACCCTTGCTTGGTGTGCTGTGTTGCCTCTAATTCCACAGAGAACAAAGTATTTTGGGCTTCAAATGGCTTCCTTTGATCTCTGTCTCTTGTACAGTGACTTGTTACTGAGTTTAAAAGATTTGCTTCCTTCAGTCAGGGCCTGTCTGTGTGCCCTTCTGACACAATTGTGTGGAACATGCGCCTCACTTGTTGGGGTGCAGTAGCTGCTGCTCTGTTTGATGGAGCTGCCAGGTTCAGGTAATAAACAGGTTTGTTAAAAATAACTTTCCTTGCCCTGGATAGACTTGCAGGTTTTCTTAAAATTTCAGAAAGCACAGTGTATAGCCAATTTCAAATGGGGCTTTTAAGAAATTAGGCCTTTGGATGTGCCCCTGCTCACAAACACCGTGGCATCCGAAAATAATATCCTTCTACAGATGTCACTGATCTCAAGAGCATCAAAACAGCTGTGAAGGAAGTGTAAAAACACCTTGGAGAAAGTGATCTGACCCTCCTGATGAACAATGCTGGCATTAGTTTTCCAAATGATATAGAGATAGAAAGTGCGAAGGACATGACAGCTATGTATACCACCAGTACCAATGTGCTGCTACAGGTTTTTCTCATGGAGAATTTTTCTTAACTTTTGGTGATTCCTGAGTTGAAGATGGTGTCCCTCCAGAGAGGCTAGAACCAAAACTAGACCCTGAACAATCCTTCATTCACCATTATATCTTGGAAAGACCTTTAGTGTAACTCCAAAAATGGTGCATTTTGCTTTCTTTCTCTTTCTTTAAAAGCTTGTGAATCAGGATCCAAGCCAAATCTTGTGGTCAGTATACACCTCCACCAAAAAGCAATGTTTTATAATATTGCTTTGTAGTGGTGTTTTTGTTTTGCTGTAGCATGTGTCCCACAAGTAACATGTTTGTACATGCCTATTACAACAACAATTGCCCTTACACAGCTGTATTTCACGGACCCAACAGCAGCCAGTGTTTATATCTCCCCAAGGCATTTATGCCTCTGCTGAAGATGGCAGCTCAGAGAAGCTACCAGGAGGAGCTGAGCTGCAGCCAGGCAGCCACTACCAGTACGTCCAGTGCTGCAGGCTCCATTGAACTTGTGC